AAAAATAGATTAAAAATCATACCCCATCAGAAATTTTGCCCATGATCAATTAGTTAAATAAAAAAGGAAAGTATATACTACTTCATTTTATATTAATTGAAGTGCAAATTTAATCAGAACCATGCTAAAGTCAGTGAGTTTATATATGGACAGTATTGTGGAAAAAGTGTTAATTTCATGAGCTTCTGTGACACTAATAAAGATCTTGAAACTGAATATAGAGATTGGGAATAGCAATTTAATAATCAAGAAGTAGAACATATAATTATAGGAAAGAAATATGTTTATTTTAACTATGTCATACTACTTGCTAAAATTAGTTTATCTTTTGCAGATGACACATTTTATACACTTTCCTTCCCACTCATGAGCCATGCAGCTGAGTATCAATGTGACCAATTTTCTTCTCCTTGGCTTAACACAGGACCCCAGGAGGAAGAACATAGTGCTTGCCACTTTCCTGTTCTTTTATATGGAGACATTAGTGGGTAACTTGCTGATCATTGCTACCATCAAGACAAGTCAGGCACTTGGGAGTCCCATGTACTACTTCCTGTTCTACTTATCCTTGTCTGACACCTGCTTCTCTACAACTGTAGCCCCTAGAACCATTGTGGATTCACTTACGAAGGAGGCCACTATCTCTTTTAGTGAGTGCTTAATACAAGTGTTTTATTTCCATTTATTTGGCTCCCTAGAGATCTTCATCCTCATCCTCATGGCTGTTGACCACTATGTCGCCATCTGTAAGCCTCTTCACTACATGACCGTCATGAGCCACCAGGTCTGTGGGACGCTGGTGTCCATAGTCTGTGTGGTATCATGTGTGCATTCTTTAGCTCAGATATTTCAGGCATTGAGTTTACCCTTCTGTGGTCCCAATGAGATTGATCACTATTTCTGTGACTTGCAGCCACTGTTGAAACTTGCAATAATAAGACAAACCTATCTATTTTATGAAATATTTTGCCTTTTGAAATTTCTATTATAATCAAAATAAATCATGATGATAAAAATGATTAGTTGAGCCTCTCACTCATAAGTCCAAAAGATTAGTATTAATTGGATTATAATTAAGTTCTTAATTTTAATACAAACACAGACAACTCACTGTGAGATCCAGCTCTGTGACTTCTTAGAAAGTATGGTTAGGGATGACTCTTCTTCAGTTCATGACAGGGTCAAAAGTTTCTTCATGTTTTTGCCCACCACTTAAGCTTATCTGTTATGTATACACAACTTTAAAAAATAACTTGAAGCCTTATGCTTCTCACCATTATGTGACAATGGTGGTTTCTCTATTTTAATCAATTCTCACAGGAAATTATAAGGCAGGCTTCACTTTATATACAGATGATAAAGCAGCTTCATGTGGTACGAGGAAATGAATATAAAATGAGAGGAGAGACAGGAGAGAGAGCTGGCTTCTTACTTGCTCCTTTCAATTCTTGAATGGATATTTTACCCCCTGCTGCAATAGTTCTTAATGGGTTACCAAATAATTCTGGGATCCCATTTTATAATGATGTTAGGTAAAAGTGAGCTTAAATTAGACCAAGATAAAGGAACAATTTCAAGAGTCCAGTAGCATGCATTTCTTTGTACTTGGAATGTAAGTATGTCATGTATTATCTACATGTTCACTGACAAAATTGGTTATATAAAGTTGTCATCAAAATTATGTGAAATGCAATGAAGTGTTATAAGCATATTCAGAGCAAATTATAAACTAATATTTTATAAAATGACAATTATTGAACTTAATGATAACATTTTTATTAATATTTGTTAAAAATTACAGATGAAATTATGTAAGAATAATTATAATCAAAGTCACCTTTTCTTCTGATTTCTAGCATAGAAATATTAACTTCTCTAGCTTATATTAAATAACTATAAAATTGTTTTATAACTAGAATCATATGTCATATAATTACATATAATGTTATATAATTGTAAGAATAGGTATAAAATTGTAGAAAAAATGAGATTTACCAACATTTCCTNACTGACAAAATTGGTTATATAAAGTTGTCATCAAAATTATGTGAAATGCAATGAAGTGTTATAAGCATATTCAGAGCAAATTATAAACTAATATTTGTATAAAATGACAATTAGTGAGCTTGGTGATAACATTTTTAGTAACAATATTTGTTAAAAAATTGAGAGATGAAATTAAGTAAGAATAATAGTCAAGGTCATCTTTTTTCTGATTTCTAGCATAGAAACATTAACTTCTCTAGTGTTATATTATATAATAATTAAATTGTTATATAATTAAAATCATACAATATATAATTCCATCTAAAGATATAAAATTGTAAAAATAACTACAAAAATTGTAGAAAATATTGTGATTTACCAGAAAATTTATTTAAATGGGATTAAATAAATACCTATAAGAAACTACTACTAGGAGATAGTAGACTTTATCAATTTATTTAATATTGATATTGAACTTATACATGGTTCTATCCATCATTCCTTTACTTCTAAAATAGATAAATAGCAGCAGCTACATAGAATGAGTATTTAAAAATGAGGAACAATGTGCAGTACATAGAAGAAATACGTTATTATAGCTATTACAATTCTTTCATATATACTGTGAATTATTATGCATTATTTTGTAGCAATCATTTATTTCTTTATCAAATAGCTTTGACTATTACCCTGACCTTCTTTATATTCATCGAGTCACTTTAATTGTTTATTTGTAGTTATTTTAGAAAAGCAAATAAAGCAATTTTTTAGATCCTGTTAATTTGTATGAAAAATATTGAATCATAACTTATCTGTATTTTTTTTTGCAAAGTAAAATATATTTATCAAGCAATGTAAAGAAAACTTGACAAATAGTCTAATACCTGAGCTTCCTTATCTGGATTTGATGGAGAAGTGAACTCAATTCTGTTTCTTTCAAGGCATGACAGTCAGTTTACTATATTGGTGTCCCGAGTTTCCTCTTAGACTAATGACTTGTTAGTTTTCAAGTTATATTTTCAATTATCTTTTATGGTTTCTTATTTCATATAAGTAAGAACAGAAATATTTAGCTTCACATTGGTGGTCATTATTTGATCCTCCAACTACTTGAATCTCTTCACCTCCAGCTTCATTTACAGAAGTTCTTTATGTTTATACTCTGTGCAGTCATCTTCATCTAGTCATCCAAGAGTCAGTTTGAATAAGACAAAGCATAAAAAAAAATTTTCGTATGTGACAACATGAACAATATTCAAAAAATTTTACAATTGAGCAGCATTTAAATGTTAATTATGAAAATGCCAAAATTAAATGAAGTTGAGGATGCATTATTTTTTCTGGAAATGTGATTAACTATCCAAAGAAGTCAAGGAGAAAGAGGAATGTGACCGTGTTTGTTCTTCTGGGGCTCACACGGAACCAAAAGATGCAGAAAATTGTATTTGCTGTGTTTTTGGTCATCTACATTGTCTCTGTGATCGGAAATTTGCTCATTCTTGTCACCATTACACACAGTCGATTGGTAAGGTCCCCTATGTACTTCTTCCTTGCTTATCTCTCCTTTATTGATGCCTGCTATTCTTCTGTCAATAACCCTAAACTGATTTTTGATTTGCTTCTTGAAAAAAAGATTATTCAATTCAATGGATGCATGACCCAAGTCTTTGGAGAGCATTTCTTTGCAGCTGCTGAAGTCATCCTGCTTACTGCAATGGCTTATGATCACTACGTGGCCATCTGCAAGCCCCTGCACTATGCAACCATTATGAACAGAGTAGTTTGTAACCTGCTAGTGGGGGTGTCATGGATGGGAGGGTTTCTTCATGGAATCATTATTGATTTACCTTTCTGTGGCCCTAATGTCATAGATCACTTTATGTGTGAGCTTAACCCTCTGCTTGAACTGGTCTACACTGATACCCACATTCTGGGGCTCTTTATTGCTGCCAACAGTGGGTTTATCTGTCTATTAACATTTCTACTTCTTCTGGGCTCCTACACAGTTATCCTGTACTCATTAAGAAACCACAGTGCAGATGGGAGATGCAAAGCCTTCTCTACTTGTATTTCCCACATCACAGTGGTTGCATTATTCTTCTTGCCCTCCATATTTGTATACATGAGACCTGCAACTACTTTACCTATTGATAAGGCAGTTGCTGTGTTCTACACAATGATAACTCCCATGTTAAACCCTTTAATCTATACTTTGAGAAATGCTCAAATGAAAGATGCTATTAGGGGATTGTTAAATAGAAAAATTCATTCAGAAGACAAATAAATATATTTCTTTTTAAATCTGAAAAGAATTAAATGTACATTTTAGATGACTTCATTTAGAACATTTATACCATGAAGAATAAAACAGCTGTCATTTATGAGGTGGGCTTGAAGGAAGTAGAAATAAGAACCACAGAATGGAGAAACCTAACACAATATAGGTTAGGGTTGTACTACTGTTATAGCTCTTATTTTTTATCTCTAATGCCTATTCAGCACTAATTTATTACTCTGTCTCAGCTTAGAAATAAAGGTGACCCACATGGTTATTCAGGTCAGATTATTCTGATTTCTGTTTCAACTATCATATTCATTATCTAATCATATAAAATAAACCTTTGGAAGTTGAGTATTTGCTACTGGTAGCCTCAGACATGTGGTGATACACATATTAAGAGAAATGGGTTAAATTTATATGTAGGAGTTAGCCAATTAAAAGCTAGAGCTAAGAGGCCATGTAGTGATTTAAATAATACAGTTTCTATGTGATTATTTTGGGGCTAAGTGGCTGGGAACTAACTAGTGGCCTCCTCACTGCAAGGAATCTTCTGTTTTCTTCAAGCTCCGTGTTGGATGCCAAATATTGAAGATTGGATATTTGTTCATGGAAAGAAGAAGCAGAGGCACCTTAAGAATGATTTTAACCTTTCCAACTGTAAGGGGAATCAGGCACAGAATGAGACCTTTTCCATAGCCAAGGGCATTTTTATTGTTATCTAATTTACACCTTTAAAAAGTTGATTTCCATATCCCAAAACATCTTATCTAAGCTTCTCAAAGGGGCAATGACAAATGCAAATATTCCATCAAGGAATTTCATGGTTTGCTAGATTTTTCCCAATCCAAATTTTGCATAGATTTTGCACCCCTGGGAAACTTTCAGATAAGACTTCAGAAGGTACTAGAGACAAGGCAGATCAAAACTAGCTGTTAACACTCCTGAGTCAAACCACCTACATAAATCTGCAGAAACACCCAACAACAATGCATTACTATGGACATAATGTTCAGTTCTGACACTGATGAACAGGTGAAGTCCCATCCCTCAGCCCCTCATGGCATCATGTGAACACCACTCCTAGCAATCATAACCTCAACCTCGCCTCTATGTCTCCAGTGGGTGTCACATGGGTGTCATTCTTCATGGTCACACCTACACAGGTGGATAACCCTACACCAGTACCCACAAAGTATTGTGATGGCCTTAATATCCAATCCTAAAGGTGATGGACATGTGAGTCCTACCCCACAGACTCACAAGGATGTCTTGTATGGAGTGTCAATCCTCGAGGTCATATCCACACTAGTGGAACACCCTATACTAGCACCCGCATTGCACCTCACCAAAAGAACTCCTTACACCACACCTATAATGCATTGGATGAACATAACTTCTGGTTCTGGAGATGATAGACATGTGGGGCCCTGCCTCTCAGTCCCATGCCAAGGTAATGTGGGTGTCACTCCTCGAGGTCACACCCATAGTTTGGGAACTCCCCGCAGTATGGCTGCAGCCATGGACGCCAGATGTTGTAGATGGAGCCCAGCTGCTGGTGAATCTGGCTTAGTGAATGCCACTGCTGAGCTGCCTCCTGCTTCAGTTTCCCCACCACAGTGTGGAACTCGGGTTCTGTGTCAGGCTTCAGTGGGCGGGTCTCACCCGGGTCCGTGGAGAGGTCAAAGAGCAGAGGCGGGTCATGCTCTGTCACATCCCCGATGCATGGGCACACTGCGCTGCCATAGCAGGCGCCGGCCCCTTCTGGGTGGAAGTTCGGGGTCATGAAGTGAACCTTCCAGACTCTTCCTCCTGCCAGTCAAATGGATGATTGACAGCTGCCAATACCAGTGATAAAGAGACACAAGTCTACTTGGGGGAGGGGAATAGTATACATCCCTAAGAGAGATTTTATTGACCCACCAATGCCAAAAGGAAAGCCTAACCCATGGTCACTCTGATCTGAAAGTACTCCCCAGAGGGAGGGATTATTTGTGAACTTACGGTCGCGCTGCACCCAGCGCGCAGCATGCAGGAACACTTCACAGTAGTGCAACAGGAACTCATGGTCAGAGTGTTGGGTTTCCCCACGCAGCAGGGGCAGCAGGTTCCGCCCATCAATCACCCTGGGGGGTCGGTGACACATTGGCTGTCAATCAAACAGGTGTTCCACAATGCCAATATGGTGGCCCTACGGCCTCTCTGTTATTCCACCCATGTATTGTACCTTAAGCTCTCTGCTATCCCACCCGTGTATTGTATCACATGACACTGCACCTGTCACTCAAGTCCTCTGCAGCCTTGCCCCCCACCATACCATGTAACAGCCCCACGTGAAACTCAAGTATATTTCTGGAGTGACATCATTGCTCATGCACCCTTCTGCCCCACACCCACCCTGTACCCACATCACAGCAGCTGTCGCTGACTTCCGTTGTGATATCATTGCTCACTGGTTTCATGGCTTCCTTCTCCCACTGCCCAAGTAATAGCCACTGTCACTCAGAATCACTTCCTGTGTGATGTCTGTGCTAATCTGTCTCTCGATCCTCCTCCTGTCTACCCTATCTGCTCATATATAACAGCAGCTGTTATCCAGGCCCACATCTGGTGTGAAATCATGGCTCACTAGTTCTTGTGCTTGGCCTGCTAAACACCTCCCAAGCTCTGAATTCATGTGACAGCAGCTGTCACTCAGACACCTGTCACCCAAGCTCACTTCCGATATGATGTTGATGCTAACCCTGCTCAGCCCAGCCCCTGCCCACACACTTGTGACAGCAGCTGTCACTCAGACACCTGTCACCCAAGCTCACTTCCGGTATGATGTTGATGCTAACCCTGCTCAGCCCAGCCCCTGCCCCACACACTTGCTACAGCAGCTGTCACTCAGGCTCATTTCTGGTGTGATGTCATTGCTCACCTGTCCCTTGGCTCAGTCCCGCCCCCCAGGAGGACCACGGTGGGGAACACATCCATCATACTCGTGGGCTCATCCACAACCCGCCCTGCGGGCAGCACCCCGGGCCAGCGGAAGATACCAGGAACGCGGATGCCACCCTCCCAGCCGCCCATGCCTTTGCCACCTGTGAGGGAAGGACTGGAGTAAGGCTAGGAACCTGAAGTCAGGTTAGAGACTGAAGCTGGTGGAAATAGGAAGTGGCAAAAAATGGAAGGGGAGAGAATGAGGGTGGGTGAGACAAGTACACAACTCCAGGATACCCAGGAACAGGAAGTGGAGGAAGAGAGTGAAGGCCCCTGGGAGGGAGGAACCAGGCCAGCAGCCCAGGACACCTGTCACCCCAGGGAACCAGAAGTGGGGAGAAGAGTGAAGGACCATGGGAGGTAGTGAGGAAAGGATGGGGATACCATACAAGGATACATTTCACCTGAATAACCAGAAGCTTGCGGTGGGTGGGGGGGGAGTGAAGGATCATGGGAGAGAGAGACAGGACCACCAGCCAAGGAATGTATGGGAACACAGCTCAAGGCTGGGGAGAGTACCGAGCTCACCTCTGTATACCCCGTTCCAGCCACCAAGCTGCATGTGACCCACACGAGACTCCAGGGAGCCACCGTGGTCAGATGCGAAGTATACGAGCGTATTGTCTGTCAGCCTTTCCCGGTCCAAGGCGTCCAGGATCCGTCCTGCGACGATGAACATGTGTGACTGGGGACATGTGGGACCATGGGAGAGGGGGCATGTCGACCCAGGGACAATGGTGATGCACAGCATTCCTATCAGGCCCTGGGATCCACACATGGGGTGGGGGTGGGAGGAATCAGGGAAATATGTAAAACGGGACATTCCCATCAGACCCAGCAACCATGCTATGTCCGATACTCACCTACCATCCAGTCCATCTCCTCCACATTGTCCCCATACAGCCCATGCTTACTCCGCCCCTGGAAGCCTGCAGTGGTCACGAGGGGGACGTGCACGTGCAGGAAGGATATAAACAGCATGAAGGGGTGGTGCTTGTTCCTGGGAGGGGGCGGTGACATCATGGGGGGAGTGAGGTGCTGATGTTACCGCCCATGGGAAAATGATAACTATGACAGTCCCTCTTCTTTTCAATGACATCACACATCACTGCCTCTGACCAACTTCCCTGCCGGTTTCCTGTAGTCCTACCTCTAGGTCTCAGTCATTTCCGCCTGTTGCCTGCTGACATCAGCAGTGGTTTTTCTGTTCCATCTTTCTGTCTGTCCATCAATCGTCTGTCATCTACTAGTCATCTGTCAATCACGTTTCTTTCAATCTTTAGCCATTATCTATCAATCAATCATTTACCTGTTAATCAATCTTTACCTATCATGTGTCACTCAATCATGTGTCTGTCAGTATCTATTGTCTGTCAATCATATATCTCTCAATCAATCTATACCTATATCTATATCTATTTGTCAATCATATACCTGTAAATCAATCCTGTATCTGTCAGTCAATCAATCTGTATCTATCATCTATCAATCATCCTTTACAGACCTGTCAATCACATATCTGTCTTGTGTGTGTATTGATCTATCATCTATCTATTAGTAACTGCATTTCTGTATCAGCTGTCAGCTAGTCCCTCAATATCTGTCATCGGTTACCCATCCATGACTCTCCCATCAGTCACCCTCTTGCTTATCTCTGCTCCCTCTAGTCTCCACCAATCAATAAACCAAGAAACCAATACCGATCACCCACCTCTTTATCTACAAATCATGTGTCCCCGGCTCTACATCAAAGCTGTTGTCACACACACCATCCCCTACCTCTGCTTATGTTTCAGCAGCCAATGGTTGGAGACACCCCACCAAGCAGGTTATCAATTTTTTCCACACCCAGTTCCTGTAAGTCTACTTCAAACTTGAGTGTACAGCTAGCCAATTCCATGTGAATAATGTCACCTTTGGGCACCCACTCTCCTGCCACATGACGTCAACAGCTCACAGAGCACCACAGGAGAGAGAGGGAGGATGGAGGAAGAAAGGGGTTGGGGGAAAAGGTGGAGGGAGGGGTCAGGGATTTCCCACCATGCACTGCCTTTTGATAGTTACCTTTTGATGGCTCTCATGGGAGGGCAGGGATAGGAGCACCATACCCTGGGCCACTCACCTCTGCAGGAAGATCTCTGCCTCCCGGAGCATGAGGCCAGTGACCCGCTCGAGGTGCAGGGGCTGCTGGGTCACAGTGTGGTTCCTCATAAGGAAACAATCAGCATATATGATGAGGTCACCAACATGACGTGAAGCAGCAAACATGGTGGCTGCAGCAGCCAGGATGAGGACTAGCAGCCACCGTGGTGCACGGAGGAGCCCCGTGAGTCTCCCTGCAACCAGGGTGAGTGCTGCTAATGCAGATGCCTGGCTGCACAGGTACAGGCGGCGTTGTAGTGTCACACGCTTTTCTGAAGGCTCTGTCCCAGAGCAGTCCCCCATCATGCCCAGTGGCATCCCCAGGAAGTACTGAAATCCATGACTCAGCGGGTGGTGGCAGTGGTCAGAGGAAGAGTGACAGTTCAGACCCAGGTGCCATTTCCCTGGTGGTGGGGTGGAGGAGAGGAAACCACAAAGCATGATGAACGGGACAGGTACTGTTGGTCCAGTGCTATCACCACTCACTTCACATCACATGACGTTGCCACTCAGTCTACGCCAGACGACCTCACCCCCACTCAGTCATGTCAGATGATGTCACCACCATCAGCTCCAGGTATGATGACATCACCACCTGCCCAAGACAGATGTCACCACCACCTATACCCCAACCCAGGCCACATCAAATCACATCACTATCCTATAACGTAGGAGAACACACCAATGAGGCCTGTGACGTAGCCTTGTTCCTTCAGGATTTTCGCGAATGTGATCTCCTCAGCAGGAAGGCCGCCAGCACCCGCTGCCCACTGGAGGACACGGTGGCCATTACCAGAAGTCATGCCTGCACCAGAAGGAAGATGAGTTAAAAGGACGTGCACACAGTAGGACTTGGGCACACAGTAGGATTTGGCCCTGCTCCCACAGCTCCCAGCAAGCCCCTGGCCCTGCCTCCTATAGCTCCCAGGATACCCCTGGCTATGCTTCTCATAGAGAAACTTAAGAGTCCTATCTACGAGGAAGCGATGTCATCAGTGGGGCATAGTGAGAGGAAGTGAAATCAGCAGTAGGTTCATACATAGATGGAGACAGAGGTCAGTGGGAGGAACTCAGGAACGGGGCCTAATGAGAAGTGATATCATTGGACATTGGACAAATACATCATCAATGGGGCATGACAGAGGAAGTGATGTCAACAATGGGGTCTAGTGGGAGGAAGTGACCTCACCAACAGGATCATCCATGGAAGAAGTCAGAGGTCAATAGGAGGATTTAGGATTCAGGCCTAGGGGAGTCACCAGTGGGGGCAGAACAAGGGAAGTGACATCAATAGCCTAATGGGAGCAGCGGGACCAGGTGGAGGAAGTGATGTCAGCAGTGGGGTCCAGTGGAAGGAAGAGGTATCATCCCAAGTACCTAGTTGGAGGAAGTTACATCATCAGTGAGGTCTGGTATGAGGACGTGATATCAGTGGGACGGTGCGCGGAATCATTGCTCAATGGACTATTGAGGGTACTTAGGGGTGTGGCCTAGTGGAGGAAGTGACATCACCAGTGAATCCCTAGGGGACAGTGACTTCAGGGGTCAGGCATGCAGGCTTGCCCACCTGTGCGGATGGGGTATCTTCCAGTGAGGAAGGCGGCCCTGCTTGGCGTGCACACGGCCTCGGCTGCCAGGTGCTGTGTGAGCCTCACGCCACCTTCTGCAAGTCGGTCAATGTTCGGGGTCCTGTGGGGGAGGGGCGTGTGTCATGGCATGAGGGTGGGCCACACACACCCATGTGATCTTGATGTCAGTCTTGCTGGGCATAGTCAGCCTGCTGTTGCTGTCACTACCTGGTGCTAGGCATCATAGGAAATTCAGAGCTGACTCCGCACCCCCCAAGTGAATCAGTGCCTAGAGCTAGGTATCATGGGAAGGGCATATATCCTGATGTATTATGGGTAACATAAGGTTAGGATTATTATGGGTAACATGCTGTGAGTATTATAGGTACCATGCTGTGAGAAGTATTATGGGTACCAAAATAAAGAGCATTATAAGTATCCTGGTGAGGAATATTATGGATACCATGGTAAGGAGTATTATGGGTATCCTGGTGAGGAGCATTATGGGTACCATCATGTGGAGTATTATGGGTAGCACAGCCCTTCCCTCTCCTTACCTGATGGTGCTGTTGCCATAGCAGCCGAGGTCCCCAATGCCCAGGTCATCTGCCAGGAGCAGGAGGAAGTTGGGTCGAGACTGTGACACGTCCAGGCCTGTGACCAGCTTCAGGCCCAAGAAGACACCCAGTAGAGTGGCAAGGTAATTCCTGAAACACAAGTGTCACATCACCGAGGCAGGGAGCACTGACGCCATCACATACTGAGTAGCTACATGGCCACGATGGAAGTATACAGGATTAATTTACAAATAATTATAAATTGTCAATCAATTATGTTTCCACAACAAGGACTGCTGGGAGATTCTCTTACCAGGTATGTAGGTAATGTGGCATGACACTTTCAGCCTAAGGATTCCTGCGAGAAGTAAACACATGACAAGTGAGCATGTGACAGGAAGGACACCTGCACAGTCCCTGTCCCTCTACCTGCCTGAGTAAAGGTACTGCCCACAGCCTTCCTGTCAATCATTCCTCAGGACAGGCCCACAGCGTTCCTGCCAATCATCCCTACGGACATGCCCACGTTCGTCCTGTGCCAATCATACTTCAGGACAGGCCCACAGGCCCCTGTGAGGTGGCAAGTACCTCACTGAGACACTTTCCAGGGAATTATGGGTAGTGAAAATTGACAGAACTGTCAATCACCCTATGTGCTGCTCACTTGCCCATGCCCCTAAGGAAGCACCTGTGACATCATTACTGTGACCCTTTCTAGAGTGGGTATTTCAGTCATGCCGGTCAGGAAACTGTTGGGTGAGAGGACACTGATGGAGACCTGATAGCAAGAAAGTGGAAATAGGGGAAGGGCCTGGAGCATGCTGGGAAGGGCCCTGGGTACCTGCTGGGGGAGACCTGTGTATTATGGGTGAGGCCTGCTTCATGCTGAGAAGGGCCTGTGTATTTTACAAGGGACCTGATGGATGCTGGGAGGGGTCTGTGTATTATAGGAGGGGCATGGCACATGCTGGGAGGGGCCTGTTATTATGGAATAGAACTGTTGCAAGTTGGGTGTAGTATGTGTTCCCAGGGGCCTGGTGAATTCTGGCAGGGGCCTGGTGCATGCTGGGAGGAGACTTTTTTTATTGGAGGGGTCTGGTGAATGCAGGAAGAGGTCTGTATATTATTGGAGGGGCATGGTACATGCTGGGAAAGGGCCTGGTGCATTCTAGGAGAAGCCTGTGCATTATGGGAATGGGTTATGCATTGTGGGAGAGGCCTGTGCATTATGGGAATGACATGTGTATTATGGGAATGGCCTTTGTGTTAGGGGAGGGACCTGTTTGTTGTGGGAGGAGCCTGTGCATTATGGGAATGACCCACCATTCATCCATTTTTAGCTTCGGTTGAAACTGAATTTAAAGATAAATTTCATCATCCAGTTACTGCCCTCTAAACCGCCGTGTGCAAATATTTCGATTCCTGAGGATTTTCCTGTCCTGCTGCAAGGTTGGGATTGTGCCAGGGCCCGCAGGTTTGGACGATAGTTTGATGGAGTCATGAAAAATATTCACTTTTAAAAATCATTTTTTAAATCTTTAACATTCTAAAAATTTTTAGTTTTTTGTGTTTGGTTGAAAGCATCACCTCACATCTTGCTCTGTCAAAAAATCACAGAAATCATGTTCTGACGCATGTTCCCTCCTCATCTGTTTACCTATTTTTTCATACATGCCATGCTGGGATGGGTGCCACACACCGGCACAAAAGCAGTGTTCTGTTTTTTTTTTTTTATTTTAACTTTTCATTTAATTTCATTTCTAGTTTAATTTCGCTTCGGTGTGCTTTCAAATTTTACTTCTGTCTGTATTTCTTCTTTAACTTAATTCTTAATTTAAAATTTTTCCATTTATCATTCTTAATAAGCTTCATTTCCTAATTCAGTTTTTTATTCTCATCCGTCTTAATTCAGTTTATTTTCCCAACTCGTCATCTCTCCTGTCTCCCTCCAAACTTTTTCTGCAAAACTAACTCTTTTTTTTTTTTTTTTTTTTGTTTTGTTTTGTTTTGTTTTGTCAACCAACATTTTCACCCGAAGGTTTCCCACACAGACCTGCAGGAACTGGCTGTGCTGGCCCTCCCATAGGACCAAAAAGGACCCTTTGATTTATTTCTGTTTTTTCTCCCGAGGGTGGGGGAGGGACGAACTTTCTCCTCTGTCCTCCCTCTCCTCACTCTGCTTTTTGCGCCGACCGTGGATATCCCTCCTCACCCCACGACGAGGCCATCTGTCCGCGCGGGTAAAGTCCCCTCCCCCTGCCCCTCCGCCTCCCACCCAGACTCACCGTGAATGCGGAGCATCAGGAGCCAGCCGGTTTCAGCCGGTTCTAACCTCTCCTCGGTGTCCGTCCGTCCCCCCCCCCCTCCTGCCCCTCCAAACACCCACCCACCTGGGAGGAACCCGTCTGTCTGGTTGGGCAGGGTCGACACGAATCCGGCTGGAACCGGTCTTCCGCCCAGACAGGCCTGGGCAGTAGAGATTCTTGCGTAATTTAACTTTATTTTGGGAAATTCCCGCCCCTCTCAGCCGCTCCAACCTTGGATGCTACAAGTTTCTGTAGAAATTGCTACCCGGGAGGAGGTTAGACCAGCAGGAGCTGCAGGGCCACCTGAGTTCCTTAAGGTAATCTGTACAAGTTAGCTTGGTGGTGAAGGAGCAGAACAAACTGCTTTTGACAAAGAACTCTATTTTAGACAGGAACTAACTAGGCGACGGGGGAGGGTGAATGCAGCCCAGCAAAGTCATAAACATTCCCAAGAAACTGCCAGCCCTGGTCAAAGTTACCCCACCAGGGTGTACAAACAACATTGGTTTATGTCTGCTTGCTTCAAACGTCCTTGTTGGTACTCGATAAACTGCTATTTTGTCTGTTTGAAATTCCCCTATACCCGAAACAACTAATTCAAGTTGTATACTTTTACCAATCCCCAAACGCTAAGACTTGTGTGATTTACAACTGTATTTGAACAGTAAAGGCATCTATATTTTGAAATAATAGTGATGCACAGATGCTGGTGATGCTGAAATGGGAACTAATTGTGGGAGGAAGATGTTCTGTTCACTGCCAAAGATGTAAATTCGCCTATGCTTTTACATTGAAAAATTCAATGTTAAAACTTGTAAGCTTGGAAAAAAGTCACCAGGCCGACTTTCTCAGCAAAACCTACTTAAAGGTGAATTTCTTTTACATAAACTTTCAATAAAATGTGTAAAGGGACAGGTCAGACTCTAACTGGCACCTTAATGTTCTTTACGAAAGTTCTCCTGGACCTAGGACTCTCTCTAAGCCCCCCCCCCCCCATCTTCTTTCCTTGTTGTCTTTCAAGTCTCCCAGACATTGTTACTCTATTCCTTATTTCCTACTGCTTTTTGTATTGGTGTCAGTTCTAATAAATCTCTTCACGTTCAAGTTAGAAAGTACCAAAAAGATAACTATAATACACAGGCTTGATGTGTATTAAAGACTGAAGCATAAAAATAACCCTGAAAGTAGCAGTGGTTTCTCATGTTTCAGTCTGCTGCAGCCAGTAGGTTAGCCTTGTGCACACCCACCATTTCCTACAAGTCTGTCCCACCTCTTACAAGTTGATTATGTGAGAAAATGAAAGTCTTTTAGGAATTGTAAATATGACATTTTAATCCATCACACTCTGGTGATCTCAAGAAAAATCATACGCAGGCCCATTCCATCATGCATAAACTACTAGCATGCACCAGGCCTCTTCCATAATACACAGGGCCCTTCTAGTAATGCACCAGGCCCTGCCCAAAAAACATAGACCTTCCCATAATACCCAGGGCCATCCCATCTTGCACCAGGCCCCTCCTAGCATGCACCAGGCACCTCCTGTAAAGCAAGGCCCCTCTCATAATACACAGGCACATCCCATAATACCTAAGTCCCTCCCATCATGCATCAGGCTCCTCCCAACCTGTACCAGGCCCCTCCTATAATACACAAATTACTCCCATCATGCATCAGGCCCCTCCCAACCTGTACCAGGCCCCTCCTATAATACGCAAAGCACTCCCAGCATGCATCAGGCACCTCCTATCATACCCAGGTCCATCTCATCATGTTCCAGGCCCCTTCTAGCATGCATCAGGCCCCTCCCTATTTATTCTTCATTAATTCTGGCTGAAAGTCCTCCATGATGCTGATTGACATGTGGGTAGCTGAGTTCCTGTGAGGCCAGTGGTTTAACCTCTGTGTAACCCCAGCTTCATTCTTCCCAAGTTATCATTAAAACTCTCTTTTAAAGAATCTGGAAGGGGAGGTTGCTGAGCCCAGACACCCTAATTAGTATGTAATTATGGTAATGAGCTCAGAGGGATACTTAATTATGCTAATGTGACGGTAGGATACTTAATTATGCTAATGAAGGCAGACGTAACCAGATATGCTAATGAGGCTCAGCCAGTGTCCCTGTCTGATGGGAAAGGACTGTGTCCCCACATAGGAGCCGCAGCAGGAGCTCAGGGTGAGTGCAGTCTGTTGGTTATTCAGTTTATTATCACACTGCAGGGGTGGGGGGAGAGGGTCAATGGTTCTCTGTGGCTCCTGAGCAGGGGGGACCCCAGAATTGGGGGGAGAATGTGATAGCTGTTGAGGGTGTTTCAGGAGTGCTGTCTGCTCAGGAGCAGGAGCTATCTGTCCCTCCATCTGTCTGTCATGATAAGAAATGGTGTGTTTGATTGACAAGTGTGACTGGGTCCAGTCTTGATAGCAAATGAGATACATTTGATTAACAGCTGTAACTGGAGTCCAAGTCATGGTGGAAAACGATGTGTGTTTGTTTCACAGCTGTGGCTGGGTTCAGGTCATGATTGGAAATGTTTGATTGACAGGAGTGACTTGAGTCTGGGTCATGATGGAAGTGAGTGTTTGATTTAAAGGGGTGAATGTGGTCTGGGTCATGTTGGGAAATCACCTGTGTTGATTGGCAGAGATGACTGGGGTCTGGGTCATGATGGGAGTTTGATTGACAGGAGTGACTGGTGTCCAGGTTATGATGAAAATGTCATATATTTTATTGACAGGAGTATGTAAATTTCTGTTTCTCTGTCTGAATATTCTCCTACGATAATGTGAGGGAATCACAGAAAGTCAAGTAGTTTTCATGTGACATCAGGCAGGACCAACAAACCCCATGTTTTTTTATTGACCCTGCCCAACCCTGCCTGGTTGGCTATGTAATTGAGGCCACAGAGAGTGATGAAAAATTTAACAACTGTCCAAGTTCCCTTTGAACTTCATTCTTGATCACTAGCAACTCAGACTCCCGACACATCACACAATTACTATAAAACAGCCATGTCTAAGTAATTGGGGTGACTGAGGTAACCCTGTGATATCAAAGACCCTGGAAGTATAAATACTGCTCATGATTCTGCCCCTACTACCCCTGGAATTATTTTTTAATGAAGCCATGGGCCTCTTTATCAAATTTCAGGAACTGATAAGAGGGTCTATGCATTCACCTGGGCCTCTGGGCCCCTGGTATTCTGGAAATTAATAAGGAATCAGCAGTTATAATGGTTTTAGCCCAGGATATCCCACATCCTTTGCTGTGTGTGCACAGGGTCTTCCTACTGTGTCTCTATGGGCTCATGCTTAAGTGAGGATCTGTCACCTGGGGTGGGGTAAGGGATATTGGACCCTAGAGTCCAATCACTGAGGAGGAGTCATCCCCCCAGAGACTATCTCTCACACCACAGCTGATATAATAGCATGAGCATTTTATTAATTCTGTCATGACAGGGTCTTTCAGCATTCGGGAGGCTAGAAAGACCCAAAATGGCTGGTACAGGCTATTTTTAAAGGGAAAAACCACAGAAGCAAGAGGTGTCTAGGGATTGTTCTTTAACTATTATGATTGGCTTATTTAAAAGGGTTATTACCAATAATTGACTGTAGAGCGATTGTCAGATCACATGAAGTAAGGGGAAACATCTGAGGGTCACTTTGCCCCTTTCCCAGAGACTGAGTCAAAACATCAAGTAGTATGTGCATGTGTAGTTGTTAACTGAGTCAACACCTAAGGGTTATCTTGTCCCTATTCAATAACTGAGCTCTATTTGGAGAACATTCACAAGGACTCAGGGAGCTGATGGAAAGTTCCCAACATTTTAGTACGTGTGTGGGCAATTGTTAGGTCCTTGGTTCCCAGGGGAGGGGGGAGCATTACTGCTGAGACAGGGTTGTCAGAAATGGTTTCAGAGTTCCATGGGGATACTGCATAAGAGTCTGTGGAAGCGTCAGAGTGGGTGACATTAGGGACGTGTTCTTCTTTTTCTCCACTGTGTAATTCCCTGCTATCCCAGCATGCCTTGCAATGGGTTGGGCAGTGCCACTCACTTCCCTTCTGTTTGAATTTTTGTTATAAATGTGAACCATTTCTTTCTAAATGACAGGAGGGAGGTATACGTTGAGATTGCCCTCCAGAGCACTGTGGGAGACTGTGAGACAGCAGGGCATCGTTGGAGCACAGGATGGAGAGGAACAACAACATGGGAGGATGGAGTGGAGCAGGGTTTCATGGGAGCAGGGGGTGGATGAAGTGGCATTATGGGAGCACATGCTGACACCCAGCTGCTGACATCACAGTGCACAGGAAGTAAAGAGACCACTTTTTGTGTCCCTTTGAAGGAAATGCACATAATTACTGTTAGGAATTTTTCCTAACATGAGCTCTCTGCTGATGCAGAAATCCCAATCAAGTCAAATCACAATAAGCCAAATTAGAAATATCCAGGTTTAATGGGATTCCTGTGCTCTCAGGTGGACCCAAGGGGGAACCTGGAAGCCGCAAATGCGACCACCGCAGGGGGGACATGAGTAAAGATACCACCAGGAAACTTTCCACGGAAGCAGTTTAAATAGAATGAGGGCATCTTGACCATCCTCTGGGTGGGCACAGGAACAGGGCCTCCAAAGATGGAGGCCAGAGACCAGGGCTTACAATTACCATCTAGGCTCCACCTTTTCTAAGTGGCCCTGTCTCCAACTACTGCCACTTGTTGGGAAACAGGTCACATAATGAGCTGCAATTAAAAGTCATGTCTTTTCCTGTAAACCTGAGAAATATCTCCTACTTGGCATGAAATAAGCCCCACCCTGGCGGTCCTGTTGACCTAAAAGTCTATCAGAATGATGTCAGCATGATGACACAGCCAGGTCACATTCAGGTGACAAGGGATCGCACTTATATTTTTACATTTATTTTTGTGCTTTTCTTTCTAGTACAGAAGAAGATGCAACCACAAAGCACACGGTGAGAGGCCACACAATTTCCTGTGTGTGGGCATGTATGAGGGATGATTGAATGGTTGAGCTTGGGCGTCACTGAAACTTGGAGGATATGGAATAATAAGAATGGTCCATGGAGTGATTGACACTGAAGCTGCTCCCACCTTTCTCCAGGACCCTCTGCCTGTGGCTGTTCCTCTGCTTTGCTTTTGCAGACACACGTGGTGAGTTTGTGACTCGGAACTCCCGCCCCAACATTGTGCTGCTCATGGCCGATGACCTTGGCGTGGGGGACCTAGGCTGCTACGGGAACACCTCTGTCAGGTAAACTGAGTCACATCTCAGCCCCCCGCCTTTTTCCTGTGATCCAGTGATATCTCCCCCACTGTGGCGGCAGCCATCTTGCAGAAGCCCAAGTTTGCCCACAGAAGAGTGTGGTCACAGAAGTCACGTGCAGCCCATGTGACTCTGATGTGGGCAGTGATACAGGAATACCACCACTCTCCCTAGCTGTCAGTCTTGATTCATAGCTTGGGGAGTAACACGTTGATACCATGACCTCTCCTGACCCCACACCCACCGTATGACCTCCCTCTGAACCCCCCTCAGCACTCCAAACATTGACCGTCTGGCGAGCGAGGGCGTGATGCTCACACAGCACCTGGCAGCTGCATCTGTTTGTTCACCAAGCCGTGCAGCTTTCCTCACAGGGCGCTACCCTGTGCGCTCAGGTGAGTGTCACGTGACCCAAAGTCACCAAGGACAATCCCCTAACCAGCATGCACTGCTATGTGCTCTCAGGTGGACAGTACGCTACCCAGTATGCACTGCCACATGTGCCTGAAGTCATTGCAGGCAGCCCCATACCTAACATGACTCACCTCGTGCATACTGGTGGGTGTGTGCATGACATCACGGCAGTCAGCCTGCTACCCATCATGTACCACCCCATGGGCTCAGGTGGATGCCACGTATGCCTGACGTCATCATGGCTGCCAGCTACCCAGCATGCACCACCCTGAGTGCTCAGATGTTATTACTGGCTCCTTACCCAACATGCACTGTGTCTACAAAGACAGTGTTCCTTGGCTGATTTCTCAGTAATATATACTAATTGGCACTCAAATAAATTTACATATAAGTAAATATACTTCCATATCATCATGGTGACCCCTCTGTTTCCTGTAGTGGGAAACCAAAGGGGTGCCGACGTCATGATGTCGCTCATTGTCTTTGGGGTGCCGACATCATGGCAGCATAAGAGTACTGACATCAAGATACTAAGCTTTCTGCCGAAGCAAAAATCCCAATTAAGTCAAATCACAACAAGCTGAAGTAAAGGATATCCAGGTTTTAATGAGGTTTGGGTTGGGGGTGATGGGGCACGACAGCACAACGGGACTTTCCTGGGAGCAGTTTAAATAGACTGGGGGGAGGGGTCAAGGTTTGGCGTGCACAGGGACGGGCCTCTAAAAATGGAGGCCAGAGACCGGGACTTAAAGTCATGATGGGATGTGGGTGTGCTGATGTCATGATATCCTCCTGAGACTGCTGATATCATTGTCCTGTGGTGCTGATGTCATGATAGTGTCCTGAGGGTACAGTTTCAGATGGCAGTGCCGTGACCCCTGACCTCTGCTCCCCCAGGCATGGCGTCACCCAACAATGTGTACCGTGATGTCATGTGGCTGGGCGGGTCGGGCGGACTCCCGAGCAATGAGACGACTTTCGCCAAGATGCTGCAACACAGGGGGTACCGCACAGGACTCATAGGTCAGGGCTCAGAGAGGAGAGGGGAGGGTTCTAAGGGGAAGGGGTCATGGGTGAGAGGTAAGGGGTCAGTGGTGGAAGGGGAAGGGGTCACTGGTCAGAGGAGGAAAGGAGAGGTCGAGTCACATGTCACAGATGGAAGAGGTGAGGTGGGAAGGGGGGTCATAGGTCACAGAGGGGAGGCCTGAGGGATCACAGGTCAGAGAGGAGGGTGAGGAAAGGGAGGGTCATAGGTGAGGGGTCACACATCATGGGGAAGGAGTCATAGGTCAGAACACAGAGAGGTGAAGGAGGTGAGTGGTTCATAATTGAGGGGCAAAGGGTCACAGGTCAGAGAAGGAAGGAGTGAGGAAGAAGGGGAAGAGATCAGAGGTGAGGAGAGGTCATAGTGAGAAGGGGTAAGGGATCATAGGTGAAGGGGGATCAGGGGTGTCATAGTTTGTGTGGCCAGGTGGAACTTAGGGAGTGGGACTTCCTGACAAAAATGACACCAGGGTGCCCGATGATTGACTCCTGTCAGTCATCAACACCCACACCTCCTGACAGCCCTGCACCAAGGGGAAGTCAGCTGGTCACCTGATATGTGCAGTCTACTGCAGAGTGATGGATTCATGCTGGAGTCCTGGCATGGAGGGAGGTGCCGCCCAGAGTAGAGGGGGCTTCCAGTGTTCGTCAGGCTGTATTTTCCACTGAAAATGGTTCAGGCCTAGAATATGTGAAAAGCGGACAGACACAAGGGTGTGATGTCAACATAATGACATGCCAATGACGTCACCCTGCCACCCGTCCCGCCCACTCAGGTAAGTGGCACCTGGGTATGAGCTGTGCATCTCGTGGCGACCACTGTGCACACCCGCTCAACCACGGCTTTGACTTCTTCTACGGGATGCCACTGGGACTGCTGGGAGACTGCAGTGCTGGTGCCTGGCCGGAAGTGCACCGCAGGCTGCGAATTCAGTTGTGGGTGACATCAGCAGCGCTGGCCACCCTCCCCTTCCTGCTGTTGGTGCCCCGCCTGGCAGGCTGGTTTCCTGTCCCTTGGATGCTCATGGCCACTTCTGGATTCCTGGCTGCACTTTTTTTCCTGTCCTGGTTCAGCAGCTACGGCTTCGTGCGCAGGTGGAACTGCATAATCATGCGTGACCATGATGTCATCCAGCAGCCAGCTGATGAGGCACGGGCGGCAGGGTTGATGCTGAGCGAGGCGCTGGCCTTCATCGACAGGTGACTTCATGTCTGACAGAAGGGCTGGGGGCAGGTCTTGAGGGGTGATTGACATGGGAGCTCTGTGGACGTATTCTGAGGGATGATTGACATGGGCTAGTTGAGGGCTTATCCTCGGAAATGACTGGCAGAAGGGCTGTGGGGTGTCTGGAGTGGACATGTGACCCCCCTGAATTCCTGTCACAGGCACAAGCGCAGCCCATTCCTGCTGTTCCTGTCCTTCCTACATGTGCACACACCGTTGCCTACACGTGGAAATTTCGTGGGTCGCAGCAAGTTTGGGGCATACGGGGACAATGTGGAGGAGCTAGACTGGATGGTAGGTGAGTGTCACATGACTGAGTGCAGAAATCACATATGTAAAGAGTTCGTGAAGTAAATATGATTGCCCAGATGTCTGTAACGTCAGCTGGTGATGTCATGGCATGATTTAATGATGAAGCATCCTGTTATCTGAGTGATAGCGCCATATTGTCATTTGACATCATTGGAAATAACTTGTTCAATAATCAGATATGATGTCATCCCATGTGATTCAAGGACCCGCAGCGCCCACATCCTGGCTGACACTGAGGGTGCTCACTGCAGGCCCCACTCCCGTCCCATGTGCTCATTGTAGGTCCCCACTGCTGCCTACCTTCTCATTGTAGGGAGGCCCCTTACCTACCTGCACAAGCTAGGCCACGCCCCCACCTCATATGACCACTCTACCACATGTGCTCACCTGAAGCCCTGCCCATGCCCTCATGCTCACCCTTGGTCCTGCCCCCACCCTTGGCTCTACCCCATGCACTCACATTAGGCTCACACACTGTCCACATATCCACATATTCCCCCATCTCCTCCCCCCAGGGAAAGTCCTTGCTGCCCTGGACCGGGAGCGCCTGACCAATCAGACCCTGGTTTACTTCACATCAGACAATGGTGGCCGCCTGGAGGCCGAGGAAGGCGGGGTCCGAGCTGGTGGCTGGAATGGGGTCTACAGGGGTGAGTGAGAGCTCCCGAAATGCACTATTGTCCCCCCAGGCTCTGTGTGGAGGTCAAAGGCCACCTGTGCTACTGTGTTCCCCTCCTCCGTACCTCCCCAAGGTGGGGTAGGATGCAGGATTTGAACCCGGGACCCAGGAATGGGCAGTAGTCACCTCGCTCTCAGCCCTCTCACCTACCCATTTTCACGTTGGTCATATGACAGGAGGCAGTGGCATGGGTGGCTGGGAGGGCGGAGTGCGTGTGCCTGGCATCTTCAGGTGGCCTACAGTGCTGGAGGCAGGACGAGTCATCGAGGAGCCCACGAGCCTCATGGACCTGCTCCCCACACTAAGTCACGTGGGTGGCGGGATCCTCCCCCAGGACAGGTGATGAGGGACTGGGCCGTGTGTGGGCAGGGTCTGAGGGATGATTGGCAGGGGAGAATTTGTACTGAAATCCCGCCCCTTTCCCTCCCACTGACTTCCTCTTTTTCCTGCACAAAGAGTGATTGATGGCCAGAACCTGATGCCATTGCTGGAGGGCCATGTGCAGCACTCGGACCATGAGTTCCTGTTCCACTATTGTGGCATTTTCCTGCACAGCGTCCGGTGGCACCAGAGGGACTGTAAGTGGAGACAGGGCCAGGTGGAAGCAAAGAGGAACCGGAAGTAGGAAGAGAAGATGAAATGGAAAAGTTAGAAGAGGAAGTGGGGGGCAAAGGTGATGAGGAGGAAACAGAAGAGGAAGTAGGAAGAGGAAGAGAAATGGAAAAGGGACAGGAAGAGGAAAAAGTAGGAGGGAAATGGGAAGAGGAGTAGAAAGTGGAACTGGAAGAGGAAGCAGGTGTGGAAGAGGAAGAGGGGGTACCAGAAGTGATGAGAAGGGTAAATGGAAGAGGAAGGGGTAAGGAAGCTCAATTGTGGAGAAGGGAGGGGAAATGCAGAGGATGAGGAAGTGAGGGAGAGTAAGTGGATCAGGAAGAAGCCTCTGAAAGTATCTTCAGATGACTGTCCCATGACCTTAGCACAATCCGTTCTGGTCAAAGGTCTCCTCACAATGATGTTACCTAGTCTTGCCTCCCCCCACTGTGGAGCATGTTCCCTGGGGTCCTCCTCCATGACAGTCACAGAGTCACATGAAAGGAAGTCCACGGAGTTGCTTTGTCATGTGGTTCTTCCCCTGTGTAGGCAACACTGTGTGGAAGGCCCATTATGTCACTCCCAATGTCTCCCCGGAGGGCTCGGACAGCTGCCAAGGCGGTAGTGTATGCGCATGCTCTGGTGATGTCACCCACCACGACCCACCCCTGCTCTTTGACATCTCTCGAGACCCTGCAGAGTCACGACCGCTGAACCCCGACAACGAAGCTCTGTTCGAGACAGTGCTCAGCAAGATGTCAGTGGCTATGAGGAAGCACCGAGCCACCATTACCCCCGCACCCCGCCAGCTCTCTGTCTTCAACGCCCTCTGGAAGCCCTGGCTGCAGCCTTGCTGCGGTGCCGCTTTCCCGCTCTGTGGCTGCACGGGGGAGGATGCGTGAGCACGATTTTCACCAAGGGCCAGGTGCTTCCCATGAAGTGCTTCGTGATGGCAATGTGCTTGCCACACAGAGCTCACTGAGGGTGGTGTACGTCCCACGTGGTGTTCCCTGATGGAGGAGTGCTTCCCCCATGCAATGTTCCATGATGGCAGGATGATCCCCATGAGGTACTCACTGATGGCAGGGTGCTCCCAGCATGGTGCTCTACCATTACTGATGCTTCTCACACTGCTCACTGACCTTGAGGTACCCCCTACGTGTGCTTATGATGGTGGGCTGCTCACCACATGGTGCTCCCTGAGAATCTGTGCTCCCCAACAATGTTCACTGACAACTGGATGCTCCCCACAGTGCTTGCCAAGAGGGATTGTCCTCACACAGTGCTCATGGAGAACACCATGCTCACCACGCGGTGCTCACTGATGCAGGGGTGCTCACCAGGCAGTTTTCTCTAGATGTTGAACTGATGATAGCTGGGCTCCTTACACAGTTCTCCCTGATAGCGGTAGTGCTCCTTACAGAGTGATCACTGACTCTTGCACTTACCACATGGGTGCTCCTCCCATTGTGCTCAATGACAGCAGGTTGTTCTTCACACAATCCTTCCTGAAAGTGGGATGCTCTTCACATAGTACTCCTTGACTGCTGGGGAGCTCCTTACCTGATGCACCATGAGAGCAGGGTGCTCCTCAGTTGGTACTCCCTGAGCAAGGTGTTTCTCACTTGGTATTCTTCATGCAATGCTCCCTGATAGTGGGTGCTCACACAGTACTTCTTGTCCATCATTTATCCCTCAAAATATTTGAGTTATCACCCTGTGCATGACGACACAGGAGGCCCATGCTTCAGTTTCTTCAGCAGGTCCTCCCTGTTTTCCTGAAAACAGAGAAGATTCTACAGATTGAGAGATTTGTGTGTCATTGTAATAAATTAGCATAAAGTATTGCATAGTAAATTAACATACAATTGTCATAATTAGAATAATTGGTCATATGTTATAAATGCCACCTGTGCTTTTTTTCTGACCCATGCAGGGGGACTTATGGGTAGAGATGCAGATGATGATGGTGGACACTCCCACAAACACATTGTGATACCATCAAGTCTAATACTGAGCCAAAGAACGGCGTTATAAAGTCATCTGCCCTCAGAGACTAACCAAATACTGTTGTGATGTCATCATGTCTCTCTCTGTCAGGAAGGCAACAGAAATGTCATGACATCAAATGGTAGATAATAACCAAGCAGCATCATGATGTCATCATATCTGAAATGCTACAAATGAACAGTCAAGTGACCCTAAAAAAGCAACCTGGAAGTGAAAAGAGTGACCCAGGGTCCTGCAGCAAAGCATGATGGGAGGTGCCTGAGTGCCCTCCAAGGAGACTCTAGACCAGTTTGCTGTCAGACAGATCCTACTGGACTCTAGAGATCGGTTTTGTCATAGATGACATCACATCCAACTTCCCAAGCCCCACTGTGGCCCCAGGGATTTTGGGAGCAGCCTGAGGAAATTTCCCAATGATTTAGGATTTTTTTTTTTTTTTAGGGTGGGAAGGAGCGTGGATGGTCCAAATGCTTAAACCATCCCCATGCAGTGAAAACCCCATGCAGGGAGCCATTGTCACGCTGACTGTCCTCCTGTCAGAAAGCTCTGAGCAGAGTGTGCATGCTTATGTGCTTGGGGACATCTGGAGTTGAAGCCCAGCATATTGCTGGCCATGTAGGGGTAGAACCTGGAGTTGGGGGGTGTGCCACATGGGAGGGTAAGCAACCCATGCAGGTCCACATATGGCATCCTGGTCATGATGGGTGTGTCCCCATGGTCGTCGTCCAAGTCTGATCTGGCAGTTCCCATATGATATCTGCTCTGGGGATACCCACAGCCCTGCAGGGGATGTGCTCAGTGAAGTACCAAAGTTCCCCCATTTTGTCCTCTGCCTTTATCTTGTGTATTGTGTAAGCTATTTTCTGAAAGAAAAAAAAATCCGGTCCTCATAAATGGCTAGGGGCAAAAGTAACAGGGTAGCCATCTGGAAAGTACAGATAACCACATAATGTCTCCACCTGAAGGTCAGCCAATAAGAAAACTTGACAAGCAACAGGCGAGGTTCAAAAGCAAAATTTCTGAAAAGTCCCTACATATAAGCCAATCAGGATTGAGCCGGTCGCCCCACACCCTGCTAATGGAACTTTTCGGGTTTTGCCTTTAAATAATGCCCTCTAGAAGGGCAGAGTGCCTCCTCTTGCCTCTGCTGCACCAGCTGCTTTGACGAGGTCCCTGCAGGCTTGTATTGTGCACACAATTAACCTTGCTTTTGCATTTTGGTGAGTCGGTCTCGCTGGTGATCTATTGGGGTCCCCATGGACTGTGCATAAAACTTGGTACTCCTGGGCTGAGTTTAGATGACTGGTGATGTGTGTGGGGTAAGGGATCACACTTGGGATCCCAGCATCTTCTTCAGGAATGGGTGGTTCCTGTTCCACACTCAACACAGTGAGCCCATCCTTGTGTGGGGCACCCATGTCCATGCACCAGTAGGGATAGCTCCATGATATGCAGCGTTTTGTTTGCGCTGCTGAAGAAAAGCATTTGGCTTTGCCCGCCAGTAGCTGTAGCTCCGTCCTATTTGGCAAAACCCACAACAGCAGGAGCATGGGTCAGGGGCGACCTCACCTGAGCCCCAGGCATGGCAGACTAACGTCATGTCCAGCCATAGCCATGATGGCTTCCAGTAATTATGTGCATTTCCTTCAAAGGGACACAGGATGTGGTCTCTTTACTTCCTGTGCACTGTGATGTCAGCAGCTGGGTGTCAGCATGTGCTCCCATAATGCCCCACTCCATCCACCCCCTGCTCCCATGAAACCCTGCTCCTCTCCATCCTGTGCTCCAACGATGCCCTGCTGTCTCACAGTCTCCCACAGTGCTCTGGAGGGCAATCTCAACGTATACCTCCCTCCTGTCATTTAGAAAGAAATGGTTCACATTTATAACAAAAATTCAAACAGAAGGGAAGTGAGTGGCACTGCCCAACCCATTGCAAGGCTTGCTGGGATAGCAGGGAATTACACAGTGGAGAAAAAGTAGAACACGTCCCTAATGTCACCCACTCTGACGCTTCCACAGACTCTTATGCAGTATCCCCATGGAACTCTGAAACCATTTCTGACAACCCTGTCTCAGCAGTAATGCTCCCCCCTCCCCTGGGAACCAAGGACCTAACAATTGCCCACACACGTACTAAAATGTTGGGAACTTTCCATCAGCTCCCTGAGTCCTTGTGAATGTTCTCCAAATAGAGCTCAGTTATTGAATAGGGACAAGATAACCCTTAGGTGTTGACTCAGTTAACAACTACACATGCACATACTACTTGATGTTTTGACTCAGTCTCTGGGAAAGGGGCAAAGTGACCCTCAGATGTTTCATGGGAAATAGTGTTCCAGGTCACTAATCTTAAGAGCATTGGGAGGTAGAGGTGGGAGATCAGAGGCTCATGGACATTTATGACCACAGTTTTAAACCAGCAGAGGTATAAAAGATACTGACTTAAATAGAAAAGGGAAGGGGGCAGAAAGCATCAAGAGGGGAAATAGATTAATATACTATAATAAAAAGATGCTTTCTTATTAATCATTTATATTCAATATTGATTCTGAAGACATTTGTTTCATATCCATAACCTGTTATTTACTTGTTTTGATGACAATACATTTCAATATAAAAATATATTCCATCCAAGCTAGGTATGATGGCATGTGTTTTTAATCCCAGCACTCAGGAAGCAGAAGCAGGCAGATCAATGAGTTCGAGGCTAGCATGGTCTATACACTGAGTTTCTGGATTGCAATGGCTATGTAGGGGCCCTATCTCAAACAAAAGAACACTGCAAACATGACATCTACTGCATGCTTGTTCTTACATCTTGCATCTCTTTCTTCTCCACTTTCAATGCTGAAGTGACTTTACAAGGAAAAAAAAGTACCACTAGGCTTAATATGGGAGAACTGTGTATTTAAGAAAGCACACTTTTCTAGATAAGAAATCTACAGTTTCCTTTCGTGAGGGAGGTGAAGAGAAATGCTGGGTATTGAACATAGGCATGGGCATTGGGCACGTTAGACACATGTTCTACTGCTGAGCTACACCTACAGCCATATTTTATGTTTTTTTTTTTTGTGGCTTTCTTAAAAAGAAATGCTTTGTATCTAATACATGTAGATATAAATACATATTTTACACAAGCCCAATGAAGCAATATAATGTACAGCCATGAAGAAAACATGCAGATAGAATACATATTTTACACAAGCTCAAACAAGTGCACATTACATAATATACAGCCATGAAGAAAACATATAGCTAGAAGTAAATACACATTTTACACAAGCTCAATCAAGTACATATTATATAATATACAGCCATGAAGCAAATGAAGTAAACTGCATAAGCAACATGATTCTCAGGATATGTTCAAAATACACTATTTGTTAGCTATTGATATTAGTAAAGAAATGTGCCAAAACTCCCTTTGCCATTCCACTTAAACTGGTTTCCCATAATTTCAATAAACATCTCCTGTGACATTATGTTGTCATCAGCTTGTACAATTCCAAGTTCGCTCAATCGTTTCTTCATCCGGCCTTTTTGCATGGAAGTAGCAAGTAGTTCATTTATAATTTCACAGTTTCCCTTAGCTTGTTCAGAAAAGTTAGCTGTGGCAGAAAGCTCCATTTTGCTAGTCACACAATGAAGCATTTCTTCCAGATCTAATCCTTCAGTGGCACCCACCTCTCTATTTCTCTCTGTTGTATTGTCTGAGGAAACAAATTATAAAGTTGTTAAATATATAGTCTAAAGCAACAAGGGGATATTTCTAACACAAGCTGTTAGACTCAAGTATTTTCTGCCAATAGTTTATAACAGGATTTTACTAATTCTTTACTATAAGAATCTCAATGAATTTTCTTGCAAAGGTTCATGACACTAAGAGGGTCACCAATTTTAAACTTCATTTATCTTCTTCATCCTAGAATCTTAGTCACTGGACAGACATTTTCCTGGACATTTATTATCAGCTAAGCTCCGCACTGGGAGCTATGATGCAAAGAATACTATAATAGTGCTACTTTTCTTAAATGAACTCTCAATCCACCATCTAATTAACTGACTTCATGATTCCCATCCTCAAGAGGGTACTCTTATGATTATTAAATGAGAAAAAGATTTTGTATTATAACCAAGCAATACAATTAAGGCTTTTAAAGTTTTTTTGTTTTTGCCTTTTCTTATTTGCTTGTGTGTATGTGTTTTCCCCCTTGCTAGTTGCTGAAGAGAAACTCAGAAATAGGATTTTTCCACCAGAGCTTTCAAGGTAACATTCTATTCAACATACATCTCAATTTTACCCTGAGTGGGAAGGATCCTGAACATTGACAAGGCCTATTCTTTAAACTGTCTCAAAATTTCCATTGCCACACCAATACTTTATATTTCTTTATGGCTGATATTTAAAAGTAATTTATATCAATGGCTTGAAATTCACAGATTTCCACTGCATTCACCATTACTGCCAGGAACAATGGTGACCGGGAGTTACTTTTACCCATGAAAAGTAAATATAAACTCTAATACACTCCAGGCAAAAGCAACCTTCAACCTGGAAAATTCTTTTCCGGCTTTTATCCTTCACAAATACCTACAGAAGCCACCTTGTTTTACACGCTTACAAGAAGACAAAGATAAGGGACCTTCACTGAACCACACCAAAGCTCTGAATAAACAGATCAACAAGTCAAATTTGAAAGTTTCTTTCACGTTTAGTTTCTATAATGGCTTCACCAAGCTCCTACATCTCTACGAACAAGCATAGTCAATGTTTTTTTTGTTTGTTTGCTCATTTGTTTTCAAAAGTGATCTCTGACTTTCCATAGCTAAGTATGACTTGGGGCTTCGATCTTCTCTCCCAAGTGTTGGGACCGAACCTACAATAAGTACATTTACATATTTTAATCAAATTACTAAACATAGCATACCATCAGTTTCATCTTGGGCATTTTCCTGTAGATCACAGAAAATCGTAGGCTTCACCAAAACAACACCATAGCCTTCATTGTTATGTATAATGTTATTTATCATTGAAATTTTGGGAATATCGTAATGCTCATCAAGGAAGTCCTGTGACATTGAAAACAAATAGGTTAAGGAACTGTCATATTAAACACGTTTCATAAATTCTCTACCTTTCCCCCACGCTATTTCTAAAAATGAAAGTACAAAAGCTATGCTTATTAGTAAGTTGTAGTAGTGAGTTCAAAGTAATTGTTGCTGTCATTTCTGCAGATCTAAAGATAACAAGATTATTGGAAGACCCTTTTCTTTTTTCCCAGTTTTTCAAAATAGTCTTGGCTATATTGGAACTCACTCTGTAGAACTGGCTGGCAGCAAACTTAATAGATTTGTCTGCCTCTGCCTCCCGGGTGCTAGGATTAAGGTGTGCACCACCACCACCCCAGGTATCAGAAGACTTTTAATTACTATTAGTTTTCTTAAAATTTATGTACTGTTTATACTT